ACTGCTCTCCTGGGAAATCTGGAATAGGGTCATTGATAAACTACTCATCTTTTCACACATGTCCTCTGGTGGAAGAAAGGCTGGTGGCATTTTGCAACTGTCTCTGTAGTTTGCCATGCTACTTCTGTTGAGTTCTTTTACTATCTGTGTCTTGCAAAAAGTTAGGATAACTGATCCTGTTTTTCTTTCCACACTTTCTAAAACAGTAAAACTTGGCACTGCAAATGTTTTTGTTCCCTGGTAGCTTTCCATTTCTCAAGGGCACACCCATGACTTGAAGTCACAATGTGTGGTCCAGCATGGCATTGGTGACTGTCAGCTTGCTGCTTTAATTCCAGTGATTTTTATCTCTTCTCTTGGAACAAGCATGTTAATGGATCATGCAGGGAGTCCAGCCAACTAGCTGAACCAAAGTAAGATGCTCTTACCTTGTATGTTTGTATTATTTTAAAAATGTAGAAAGTAAAACCTACAAACCCCACACTATATAAAAAAGCTGCAGATACCTGACGTCAAAACAAAGTGGCTTTGAATGTACAATGACTATTCTGCCTTAAGTATGTACAGAAATGGCAGTGCAAATGATGACTTTGTACTTACTACTACTAGTAAACTACTTTAACAAGTGTGTTTGTGTGTTTTGAGGCTGATTTGTGGGGGTTTTTTGTTTGGGTTTTGTTTTGGGGGGTTTTTTTGGTATGTGTTTGCTGGTGGTTTTTTTTTTTTTTGTTTTAATTTCCTGTTATGAGGAAATGAAACTAAAGAATTGGCCTCAGTATATCTCCTGGGACTGCAGGGGCACCCCCATCTGAGTGTACCTTTATCCTTACTAATTCTCTTTTAGACCAACCTTGACTTACCTCTCAATTACAAACTATGAAGCAAAGATTTGGGGATCTAGATGTTAGTAATGTTAGTAATTCTAGTGACCACATCGACGTGTACTTTCCAAACCTGTAGAATTATTCAAGAGAACTTAGAATGAAACAGTTTTTGTGTCTCCTATCTCCCCACAAAATTCCTGAGGTTTCTGGTAGTTTGGTGTCCCTGTTCTATGGTAAAGACAAGTGAATGCCTACTCAACATCAGATTGCCATGGCATTTTCCAATAGGCAAAAATGTGCAGTTCTTCTGCACATAGATTCTGGAGAACAAAAAAATTATAAAAATATAGAAGGTTTCAGAGGTGTTAGGAGGAAAAATAAATTTATTAGAGTACAAACTATGTCTTATCCCTTGATTGTGGCTGCGTTTTGCCAGACCATCCAATTCGAGAGAGATTCACTTTGGGAGGTAGTTTTCAAAACTATTCATTAGAAGAGAGGTATGATATAGCGTGAAGGGTACTTTACATAGTAAAGAAGGATGCGCACTCTTCTGAGGTGGTAATCATAGAGGTTTATTTCAAATTTGGCGCTTCCCTTTATACCCTGATATCATGTGACTTTCTAACCAATAGCGTTATCCATTTAGATGAATGCTCCTTTGGGCTTCTCTGCCCCGGCACGTCCCCTGTGCCTTGGACATGCTTCCTACAGTATGATTTACAAGCTGAATGTTTCAGTGAGAATCTTAAAAGCTCTGTATTTTCTTCCCTCAGGAAGACTTGGTACTACTGGTGAAATGGCAGCAGGAGATGAAATTGAAATGCTTTGTGCTATCTCAGAAACTAAAGAACTGCTGTGCCTGAAACTCGTAGAGTGACAAGAATTTCCAAAGCCTTTACACAGACTTTCTGAAAGGATATATCTTAAAAAAATCACAATATGTTAAAGCAATAATCAATACAGTCATCTCTGAGTACCTGGGCAATAGCGTGGATCAGTAAATCATAACAAAAACAGAGATGTGAATTCTGCTGTTTTGAGAAAAGACAAACTCCTCATTCCAAGAGGAGCATTCTTCCAACAAAGGGGGCCTGACTGCAGCTTCTTGGGAGTGGTCTGGATTTTGGCTCTAAGAAGTAGAAGCAGTTATAAACTTCTCACCCCCTGTGTGACCTATCTTCATCTTCAAAACAAGTTTCACCCTTTGTAAGGGTAAAAACCAGGTGAAATATCTGTGGAGACAAATCAAGGTAACTAGAACAAGGTGACTAATTTTTTCCAATTATTATTATTATTATTATTTGTTATTATTTATTTAGAAATCCAGTGTAGTCAGTAGAGAGAAACAGATAATTTTCAGGCACTCCAGGAACTCAGCTTAGTGCCTCTGAATTGCCACTAGCGTAGAAGAAATCTCAGAAAATGACCTTAACTAGGAGTTTGGACTTGGTCATAAATTATACTGTGCTTGAAGAGAGATTACTATAATTAGTATCTTACTGCTTCCTGTGGTATAGTTAAGCAGAACAGAACAAATTCACCAAGAAAAAATTGGCTTGGTAAAGTAAAATGCATCTACAAATGGTAGGATTTTTGTGTGTATGGGACCTCAGCTTGAAAAATAAGAGCTGTATCAACCAGGGCTGCTCATAAAGCATTACATTCCTTTTAAATTGCTGGTCTATCTCTCTATCCCAGGAGAAACACAAAAAGTCATGCATAATTTCTAAATCGACATAGAATCAATGGACTTTGAAACTATAAGCAATTTAATAATTCCACTAGTTAGATAACAGAAATCTGGGAGAAGGGAATTGGAGTAGCAGATACCTTCACTGTTACAACTTAATGTAAAAAAAAAAAAAAAAGAAAGGCAAGTTTTATGGAAAATTACTTGGAAAAAAATTTATTTCTAGGTCCTTTAAAATCAGGGCACTTGACTACATGAGATTCTTAAGGGAGTTGACTTTATATGCTCTTGGCGCTTGTGTCTGAGAAAAAAAATAAATAAAATACCTGGGCTTGTTTAGCAATAAATTGAAACTTGCTTGGTTTGTCAAGAAGTAGAGTGGTGGGAGTAGCTAAATATTCTTGTGAGAGAATGAAGAAAATGAGCAACAGAATCCTTCATCCCTTAAGTATTAATATCTATTTGAGGGGAGATTTTTACATAGAGAAATAAGCATCCTAAAAATGCTCCTGCCCTCATTGGTACAGAGGATGCCACTGACCTCGACGGAACTGTATCATGCTTAATAATGTTATCTTTTATTCTCCTAGTTTATTTATTTATGCAGTTCAGACAAACCTATCAAAAATTAATTTTTTTAAATTAAAAAATTAAATCTATATACTAAGTTCAATTTTTTTTAATATTGCTGAATCATTTTGATCAGTTTAATAAAAATCCTTGATTAGGAATTAAAATGTTAAAATAATAAATCTGTCTTGGGAAAGGGAGTTAAATTTCTGCTAATAAGCACCTGATGAAGGTTTTCTGAGTTTTTCCGAGTTAATTGTGTCTTAAAACCCTATGTGCTCCACTACAAGGAGAATATGAGGTTAAACTTACCAGTTTGACTGAAATTTTATAAAAACAACATCAGTGGTGCACTGTGGATATGGCTATTCATTTAAAATGATAATTGAATTTGGGAGAAATATCAAGCCAATAAATGTATTATAAAGGCAGCACTCTGCGGAAAAGAAGAAAAACCAGATGATCTTTAAGGACCCTTCCAACCTAACCCATTCCATAATTCTAAGATTTTTAAAGATCCATTTCAGGCCAAACCTTTATATGGTTCAGCATTTCTATTTTAAGGCCTAAATACAGTCCGTCTAATACTTAGTACTATTCACGTCCCCAAAACAGCCACAAGAGTAATGTGAAGTAAAGCACAAGAACTGAATGCCACTATAAGACACATCTTGTCAGTCAGAACTTCTCTCTATGTTACTACTGAAGTCCTTCTTATGCTGTACCCAGAATATGGTGCACACACATTCAGCACAAGCATTAGATTTTGGTTCTAAAAAGATTTAATCCAAAGCCTTCTATCTGGAAATGCACTGAGAATCAGCAAGAGCAAATAAAAAGGTTAGTGCTGAAAACAAAGGAAATAAAAAAGCTTAAAGGCTTGCTTAGGCTCTTGTTTAAGAAACACTGGAACAATGTTTCAGTCTCTTTTATAACTCAAATGCAGAGACTGTACACTTCTAGCCCTTTGATCAACACAGCAGAATTGATTCTGAATAGTAAGTAGTGGATGAGAAATAACTCTTTTTTTAAAAAAATGCAATATTTGAAAATGAAGTTGTCCATTATCCATCCTGCTGGTAGATTTTTCTTTATCAAACCAAAATAGTTGCTTGTCTTCTTTTATTTTAAAATATTTTTTAAAAATAAGATTTTTAAAACATCTTTTCTTGCTCTTTCTGAAAAGGTAATTTTCTTATCTCTTATTACAAGGCAATGTGGCTTCTAAAATTTGCCCACTTATATACTGAACAACAAAACAGATCCCTCTGCTGTTAAACTCTTGGGTCTCGGTTAATTTCAGTCTTCTGTGCCCCTGCCAGATATATGATTCTCATTCAGCACTGTTGTATTAGTTGCTTTTTGCAATAAGTCATTTTTATTCTACTCTCTTAGGATAGTGTATCTGCTTGATGTATAATTTCAGTAAATTCCCTCAAACTGGGCAACATCAACCTTTGTATAAATAGGAAATGAAGAGTATTGTCTTAAAAAGAGCTTTTCCAAGATTTAATAGTGGCTGAAGCCAAAGCTTTTACTGTCTCCTTCAATAATATTGTCAATAACCATAAATCTGTGCTGAAACAATTTCAGTTAAGACATAGAGATAAAATTATGACTCAGGATCAAGTTTCCACTAGTACTTGCTTGTCTGCCAGAACATGTACTCTCTGCACGCAGCCCTGTTTGTCATCAGACAGTGGAGAGAAACCAGAGCAGAAGTGTGGGTGGCTGGGCAGAGAGGGGGACTGGAGGCAGGCTGAGGGCATCGTCCTGTGATAAACCCAGCTGCCCCTGCTGCCTACTCTGCCTTAGGCATCTGCTGCACTGTGAGTGTGCGGCTGCAGCAGGAATTCCTGTGGGAAGAAGCATGTCCGAAATGGCCCTGGGGCTGCAGGGGCCCATGGCTGTGTACCTCAGCATGTGAGTGCACCCACGATGGAGATAGAGAAGTGAAAAGGCAATAGAAGGGAAAGAAAGAAGCACCCAGAGACTGGATGAGAGAAATAACAATTTATTTCCTTTTCCTTGAACAAAGGGTTGCAGGAGCCCTGCTGGTGCTGCCAGAAGGGTGGTCTCTTGCAGGGCTGGGGAGAGTCCTGGGGCTGGGTGCCCTTCTATCTGGGGGTCGTCCAGGCCCATCAGGACACTGGTGCCTGCCCAGGACAAGACTGGACTGGCTACAGCTGCTGCCCTGGGCAGAGGAACCTGCCACTGTCATTGCCTGCCCCAGCTCCTCCTGAGGCTGGTCCTGCTCTGCAGGGACAGGCACAGGAGGGGGGTGCCTGGGACCCCTGTGTAGAGTGGCCTTTGATGTATCAGCTTCTGTCTCCACATTGGGGCCTGCAGGGCCACTGGCAGGAGACCCCTCCCAGGAGCTGTTGGAGCTGAAGCTGCTGGAGCTGGAGCTGGCTCTGGCCACAGGGCTGTTGTTCCCATCTCTGACTGCACCAGATTGCAGCAGCCTCTGGGCCTCCTCGCTGCACTGGCCCACAATTATGTTGATGGCACCATGGACCAGCAGTGCTGTGTGTTGCTCAAGAAGAGGCTCCAGCCCCTCAATCAAGGCCTGTGCATTTGGCCCCTTGACACAGAGGTCGTGCAGGATGGTGCTCTCTGCGGCCTCAACCAGCCACCACCAGCTCCGGTATATTCCCTCCAGCCTCTGGCGCAGCCAGGGCCGCACAGGGTCCAGGAGCTGCTGTTGTCCACGGAAAAGTCCTGCCCAGACCTCAGGAAGAAGACCACCTCCAAACTCCAGCCCTGAGGCCCTCTGCTCAGGTAGGGATAGTGTACCCTGTGGAGAAGGTGGATGGGATGCCACAGGGAAATGGGGGCTGTTCTCATCCAGGACATCAGGAACTGTCCTTGCCAGGCTGCTGCCATCTGGAAGCTCCTCAGGGGCTGTGATGGCTGTCTCCAGATAGTCGTCTTCACTGTCAGAAAACCTGATAGTCTCTATTGTTCTTCTGCAGAGTGGGCATGATGGATTTCTCTGAGCCCACCGCAGGATACAGCCCAGGCAGAACCGGTGGCGACAGGGTAGAGCAGAAGCCACATCCTTCTGAGTGTCCTGGCAGATGGAGCAGTTCCTCTCTATCTCCATGGCCATTTCTGTGCTCTGCAGCACACTGGTGAGAGCTGAGGATCAGGAGCTGCTTTCCCTCACTGGTGTCACGCATTGAAGGAGGGAGAGGCCATGGTGACTGGTGTCCTGGGAAGAGGATGAAGAAATGCCCAGGGCCCTTGAGAACAACACCTTCTCAGGTCCCTGTTCCCCTTCACCCACACCACGGCCACCCTTGTTGTCCCACACAGCCAACCTTCACTGCTGCCAGCACCTGCAGTGCCTGGCTGCCTGAACCAGGCAGGGCCAGGGAAACAGGCGTGATTGCTCTGGGTCTGGCACTGAGATCTGCCAATGACAGGCACCAGTCACCACCAAAGAAGCCTAGCTCAATCCTCTTGGCCTCACAGTCTTGCTCAGATGGAGTTCAGGTTTGAACCAGACTAGTAAGGTTCTGCCCAAGTCCAAATATAAGCAGTGGAGGACAAGGTGATCTTGTACATCCCTCCATGATGTCACAATCTGCCACTCAGTGATGTCACACTCAGCCAGCAGGTGATGTCACAATATGATATTTGCCCTGACTAGCACATAGTATCAGGAGAAAAAAAGGAAATAATGTTTCTTGTTTTCAACGCCTTTATTTCTGTGTTGCTCTTTCTCAGCCACAGATGGCAATGTGTCTCATCCCGTGTCATGGTCTCCTGTGAGGGGCAGAGTGGTGGGAATAGTCAGTATGGACTGCCTGCAGCTGGATGACACCTTCTCCTCTCACTGCCTTTCCTTGGGCTATGCCAGGATTTGGAGAACTTGGGTGGTCAGTGGCCAATCCTGGGTGAGAGTCCCCTAGCCCTGTGGGTTGTGCCCCTACTGGCAGGAAGAAGCAGAAAGGGATGTTTTGCTTCAGCTCATCCAGTGCCACTGGCACTCACTCACAGTGCCATGTCCCTCTCCGCTTGCCAAGTCTCCATGCTTCTGGAAGACAGTGCATTGGTGCTCCTCAAAAGCACGGGCGATGGAGTCTGGTCCCACATTTGCAGGAAGGAGCTGGAGCTGTTGTCCCTCCAGAGTAGGGTAGAAGGGCTGGTGGCACCCTGCTCACAATTCTGGAGTCCAGGATCCATCACTGTTATGACATATCATAATTGTTTGAATTGTCTATATAAGCTTTTGTTGTTCTTAATGAAGTTGATTCAGTTGCATGCCTTACATGTGACGGGGTCCGTGCCCACAAATGCTACAAGCCCTGGAACAGGCTCTTTCAACAGGCATTGGTAAACCAGAAGCACTAGGCTTTGGGATGTCTGCAGTAGCACCCTCCTGGTAGAAATCAAAGGAAAAAGGAAGAGCTCTTCAAAACACATCGTGTGTACCAGTCACCTCTGGAAGGATAGGGACAAAAAGGAAGAAGGACTGAAAAGGAAAGAGAAGCATTCAGCAAAAGAGGTGAGCTACTAGGAGAGCAGGGAGGTTTTCCCAGAAAGGGAGGTTTTCCTAAAAAATAAAAGAAAATGCTGAAGCCATTTGCCAATTTTTAAAAACACAGAAAAATGATATAACAGAAACTAAACTGCTGGCGTTCTTAATATATATTGCCACAGTTATACCAGGATTCCTGCTGGTCAGGACTCTTAATGTGACTACTTGGCAAAAAGTTGGGAAGATAATGAGAGAAAGAGCAACTTTGGGAGATATGGAAGCCTTTAGGAATTTAACTACATTGACAGAATTTATGGACGCTTTAAAGTCTGCACAAAAGAATTCAAACTCCTCTACGGAAACCGATTCTAACCCTCCTGCCTCCCCCCGCCCAAACCCCTTAGACACTGGGCGAAGACATGGAGGTGGAGGGGGATCACTGGGAACGTGGGAGGAAAAAAACATGGGAAGGAGAAGGTATATTGTTGGGGTCGGCACTGTCTTCCCGCAGTCAGGAGCGGGAGGGAGATGTTATAAGCGGTAGTTCTGTGCTGAGTTTTTGCGAGCGCGCAGGCTCCAGGGAGCGAGTGCATGATTTAAACCGGGAATTGTTACGGGGTTACTGGATTCCTGCTGCAGGATGGAGGAATGCATGCAAGATGGCTTTTGCCGTGGGGCTGCTGTGGAATGCAGCCGCGTGGCGACCGCGTGGTTGCATGGATGTGGTCCTTTTGCCCGTGCTGGGGGCAGGAAGCGGAGGTTTCTCCTCTGCCCCCGCAGCCATGTTCTCCCGGCCGCGTGGCAGGGGAGGCCTCATCGCTTCTGGTCCCGCGGTGCCGCCGGCACCGCACTAAAGAACAGCAGGCGTGGTGGGGTGAGAGGCAGCCGGGGGCGTGTGGTGAGAACCCAGCCCCCAGCACCGCGGACTCACCCCTACTGGGTGTGCCTGCCCCGTGCCACGCTGGGTTGGAAGTCCTGGTGGCGTGGCAGACCCCCCCGCTCAACCCTGGCGAGGCGCAGCTGCCTCGGGGCCGCCACGGCGGTGGCGGCTCCAGCTGTGCGGGAGCCCGGGAAGCTAAGGGCACCCCGGGGTGCGAGCCCAGGGTCTCCGGGTGCGGCTCTGCGCGGCCCCCGTGTGACCGAGGGGTTGCCCCGGCTCCAGGCTGGCTCTGTGGGCTGGCCTGGCCCCACCCTCACGCCCCTGCAGCGCGTTCGCACCCCCCTCGCTCACAACAGGACACGGAGACACAGCCTGATACAGCCCTGGCCCGAGGCCATCAACAGCGGCAACAGCAACAATTACAACGCCTGACCCCCCCGCCATCAAGATCAAAGAACTGATACAGCATTTCAAGCAGCCTCACTCACAGCCTGCAGAACCGGCCAACCAGCCACTGCTCTTAAAGAAACAGCATCTGCCAGCAGCCTGCTGCAAAGAGTGAACCGTAACCTACAGGACATCAAAACCAAGGCATACACCCTTCCTACCAGCATAACTGGTGCTGAACCACCTGTGCAGAACTCAGCTGTGAAAGATCCCACAGCCCTGCAGAACCTCAGCACCATCGTCCACATCATCCACCGACTGCAGACCAATAGGGAGCTGGCCAGGCTGGCCAGCAGCCTGACAGGGCTGGCAAAAGTCTTCAACCAGGCAGCAAGCCTGAAAGCATCCACAAGCACCAGTGTAACCCTGCAGGACAGCCCAACACCTGCAAAGGCAAAATCTTTGTTCAATACAACCTCCTTCAATGGACCTTTCTGTAACACATTTTTATCACCACAATCTCATAAGTTACTATAATAGTATGACAGAACCTCAGCATCCCTTTTACAAGCCCCATATCTTGACAAGCTGTTGTCAAGAGACCACACAACACATTAAGAAAAATATTATGAACAAACAAAAAATAAACAAACAAACAAACAAAAGTGTGGGGGGGAGAGGATATGGCTATCTTCTATGTGTGTAAACCTACATTAACTCTTCTTCAAAATAGGAACAATCACCAGAAACAACAACTGATGAAGTGGAACCAGAAGAAACACACAGTCAATAACTACTGCCAATTCATACTTATGATTAAAAAGCAGAACAAAATAAATATGCAGAACATGTGAGAATGAAGTGTGTGAATGGAAAAGTGTGTGTGTGTGCGTGCGTGTGAAAATTCAACTACACTCAACATCAACAATATCTCAGTTAAAGACACAATTATACAACAATATCACCTTGACCACATCAATTATCCTCAAATAGCAGTAAGTACAATATCCATACCCTAACACATTTCTGTGAGAAATAAATAGTCTGGTTTTATTATAAGCAAATTGAATTTAGTGGAAAAACAGGGGGTGGTGAGAATTTTTTTTCTCTTCTTTCATTTAATTCCAGGAGTTTTAGGCACCTCATGGAGACTGTAAGGTGAAAGGCCCTGTCTGGGCCCAGCACCAGGAAAACGTTGTGATCGGGACAGGGAAAAAATATATAAAAATGGAAAATATACCCTGGGCACATGGCTGGCCTTTATGTGCAGACAGACTTCCCCCTGTACATGTATAGGGGGTGTGCTGGTTTAAAAGTTAACCAGCAGGGGGAATGAACTCAACTCAAAGGAGAGATTATAAGTCAGAATAACAATTTATTAAAATAATACAGTAAGTACAATAATACAAACAAACAATTGGTCTCAACCCACAGA